CCAACCCTAACTATTCTATGATTCTATTCTGCACTAGAGCGCCTATCAGTGGTGGTATTTATGTGATTTAGGTGATACAGAACTGCTGGTAAATTTTTTTTGTTTGGTAAGTGAAAATAAGACTACTGTATAATTAACTATGCTTGCATGATAGGATATTTTCGTTTTATTTTTCTTATTTGCTTCTTTTAATCTGCATATTGTAAAAGTTGATATTTTGCTTATTCAATTCTTTATAGATCATAGATCATGTCTGGAAGAAGAGGAGCTAAATTTATTTATTGATGTGGACTGTATGCATACAGAAGCAATTATGACTCCTATGCCTGAAGGATTATCACAGCAGCAGGTAGTAGGGTTTTAGAAATACAGTCTTCTACCTTTTTTCCTTCTCTTCTGCTCTATATCAGTGTCTCCCAGGTGCCTTGCTCTTCAAACATATTGGTGTTTAACATGAATTAAGTGGCCATCACATTCAGAACTGAATAAGTAATTTTCTTAAAATCGGTATGTGTGCATATAGTTGTACCGGTCCTGAATTCATCCAGACATGCAAAATGCTGTTTTGCAGTATAAAATTGTGATAATTACATTGTTTCACTACCTGAACATTTAAACTACATGTGGTGATTTTGAGTGAAAAAGGAAAGAGTTGAAGCATTTTTGAGTCAGATGACATTTCTCTAGATGCTGTGGGATTTCTATTTAAATGTAGAAAATATCCTGTATACTCTCTGTATTTTAAGGTTTCTCCTGATTAAAAAAAACCAACTTGTCCTCAATAAAGTGAGGTCTACAGAAAGCGTATATTTTGCTGTTTTCCACCTGAAACTCTGTAGTCACTGTGGAAAACACTTCAGCCTGGGCACCCCAGCTGGAGAGGGTGAAGGCTGGGAGCCAGTTCCAGCCTGGACTGCTCGGCCATGAACAAGCTGACTTTATGGATATGCTCGTTTTAAACAGCAGGTGGCACGATAGCTTTTATTTAAAACCTGGTGCCTGTTCAAATACTACTTCCCAGGTTGGTCTCAATCTTCATACCTCTGCTTCACTTTTAATACTGGGACCTGAGTTCTTGCCGTAAGTTGTTTATGTTTGTATGCTACTGTTACAAACAAAAATGTGAGTATAAATGTAAGATTTGCATATAAGCCTCTTCTAAGTTCTGTGTATCTATTGCAGTAATCTGGAGGCACAATTAAATATCTATTGTGTGTAGCAGCTGATACATTATAATAAATAAAACACTGCCAAATCCATTTTAAACACAAATTAGACCAACTAATTTTACCATATATGTTTTTAAGCAAAGTCTGAGATAATTTTGAAGTCTTCCTTTGAAATGCCTGTGTTTAAAAGAAAATCCTTTCATACCCTGCACTTAACTTCATAATGCAAATTGTGGAGAATTAAAGGCAGCTGTGACAGAGAAGGCAGGAGGCCATGGGAATCAGGAGCAGAGAGAAGCAAGTCTGGGACTTGAGTTTCATGGTCATTTAGGCTATCTGAAAATAGCAAAAGAGGCAGTTTTGCCTTCCTTTCCCTTGCAATTGTGGGGAGTGGTTTGATCCTGCCCTTGTGCTGTCTTCTCCCTCGGAGTCTCGCTTTTGAAAGCTCTGGAATGAACTGGATTAGGAAACGGATTGGGTGAAAACAAATCCTAAACCCAGCAAGAAATCTAATCAGTAATAGAAGTTTAAATTTTAAACCAGATGGGTTCCCTAGTCCTTCATGTCATGTCACCTGCACATGCATACAAAGTCTGTTTCAGCTGAATTACAGAAGGTGTGATAAATAGCTTGTAGTTTGTAAATATGAAATATGATAGCATTTCGTGAAGCTCTTACTACTTTGTCAATAGGTATGAATATAGATGAGACAAGGTTTTCACTTATGCATGATAATGCCCAAAAAAGAATGCTGACTTACTTAGATGCTTTCTCAGTGCTACAGTTCATATGGCCTTACCAAAAGGCAGTTAATGTTTGCTTCTTTGTCCTTCAGGTTACTCCTAATAAATTTATAAAATATATTAAAAAAAAAAAAAAAGAAAAGTAATCTTGAAGACTGATTTTGAAAACTGGTTACCTATTTTATTGCAGTAATTCACTGAAGTAGCCAACATCATCTTCTACCTATTATTATTTATATTAATGCCTGAATTTATACATCTAAAATTAAAAGACAAGTTTCAGAAGTAGAGCTTGGAATTGCAACAGTTGGCAAAGTTTATAGATACAGATACAAGAACTGTTGTGTTCTTTGAATAAATAATTTTAGAGTAATAGTAAACTTAATTACTTTGGAAGAGTTACAGTAGTATTTTGTTACAGTTCTTTTCTTCTGTTTTCCTTCTAGTTTTCTTCTATTGCTTTGTGTTTCTTGTGGTTGGTTAATGTGAGAATTTTATCATTAGCATTCCCAACTATGATGAACATATTACCTGATTAGAATTTCAGACAAGACTTTGTTTCTTCAACAGGTTGTGAGAAGGTATATTTTGGGCTCTGTAGTTGACAGTGAGAAGAATTATGTGGATGCTCTCAAAAGAATCCTGGAGGTACCTTAGTATCTTTTTCATTTTGTAATTTGGAAATTTAAAGAAATAATAAAATCTTTAAAGAATCTGTAGTGTGATTCTTGCAGGTTTTGCTACAGATGATTTGTGCCAAATGTTTAGACATTTTGTTTGTGTATACTGCTACATAAATAGGGTTTGGGTTTTTTTGTTTAAGTCTTTTTCGTTGTTTTTTTTCCCCACAGCAATATGAGAAGCCACTTTCAGATATGGAACCAAAATTACTGAGTGAAAGAAAACTCAAAATGGTCTTTTATCGAATTAAGGAAATTCTTCAGTGCCATTCCATGTTTCAGATTGCGCTGGCGAGTCGTGTATCTGAGTGGGACTCTGTTGAAATGATTGGTGATGTTTTTGTTGCTTCAGTAAGCATATGCATCCAACCAGATAATCTGTTTTTATTTTATGCTTGTTATTCTATCTCCCTATCTTTCTGTCTAACTTGGTCACATTATTCCTGTGTTCTCCTGTGCCTGTGGCAACTGTCAGAGTATGTATGTACCTAAGGAAACTGACACCAACACTTGCCTTTGGCTTGGTTGGCAGATGTGAAAGGATTGTGGGCAAGATTTTCAGTTTTTGATCAAGCTGTCAGGCATTCAAGTAAGCAATTTCATTTTCTAGGAAAATAGAGATTCACAAACCCACCAAAAATAAGGTGAGATTGAGGCTCAGCATTTATTAAAAAGTAGGTAGCTGTACATAGTATGTTTATTGAGAGTAGAAAAAAACATATTAGGTGATGTCCTGAATTCTCGGGGTTTAACTGAGCCTGGGACACAGGTAAAGAGTATTTGTAAAACAGCATCCCACCCTTAATGGAAGTCCATCTAGTGAAGGACTGAACTAGAGAAAACAAGAAGTGGCCTTGGTTGATAGAAAGACATTGTTCCTACCAGTAGCATGTGGATGGAAAAGGTTGCCTGGCTGCTGGTTTTAGAGCCTTGTTTTGTGGCCACTCAGCTCCTGGAAATTACCACCTTTTCATACCTCTGCTCTAAGAGAGCTGAGATCTCTGTCTCTGAGTGCTTTGACCCCTTTTCAGTCAAAATGAAGGAGTTAGTAAAGATTTGCTGTTTAAAGCAAACTTGTCCTGTTTTAACTGAAGCAAGTTAAGTAGTGTCAATGAGACTAGCTGTGCAGAAGAAAGGTATTACTAAGAAAGCAGTGGGCAGTGATCTTGCCCTTCATGCTGCTGTTTGCAGACCACACGATCTGTTTGCTTTCTTGGTAAACCCTTACCAGCTAAAGATGGGGTGTGAAGGCCCTGGGACTTTGCTGGTTCACCAAATCTGGAAGATAGGCAGCAACAAGATTATCAGAGAATCGCAGCAGCTGCTTTGAATCTCAGTGGATGCACTTTGATTGCCCATAGTCCTCAGGCTCTACCCTGGTGTCATAGCTAAGATGAAGCTATTTCTGTAAATTTACATTTCATAATTCACAGCTGTTATGTCTTTAGATTTCCAACCTGTCTTCTACAGAAAGAGTATTCTGGAAATCAGTATTGCTGTAGATCTAGCACTAGGCCAAGCAAAGTCCTTAACTCTGAGCAAGGCAAGTCCCTAACAATCAGAAGTCTATATAGTTATGTTTTCTGAGATCTTTTGTATTTATAGTTAAGGTTTACCCTTATCTCTTTTCAGTTTTCTAAATCTATGGTATTGGATGCATACAGCGAATATGTAAACAACTTCAGTACAGCAGTAGGGATTCTCAAGAAAACATGTGCCACCAAACCTGCCTTTTTAGACTTTTTAAAGGTGAGTTTAATCTTAAAACAGCTGGGCATTTGATATAAATAAGACAGCATAAATTAAAAGTTAGGAGGAAATTTGACGGCGAATACTGCATATTGGGTGACTGTTTTTATGGACTTTAGTTTCATATTTTATGGGTTTGGCACAAAAAAAATCCCAGAGAATTCTTCCACTGCTGTATTTTCAGCTAATAACATGATGTTAGATCTAGGATGTATTTTGAAGTGGAGAGTAGTTTTGTTGTTGTTCATACCAGTTTATTGGTGCCTTTGTACGACTGTACTTGTGAAAGAATCCCAGTGTTTTGCCATCAGGTGAGCTTCACATAATAGTTTGATATACGAGAACTTACTTGTGATTTATTTTACTTCTAACTTCTTCATTGTATTGTGCAGGGTAGTGTAACTAGATTTTTGTTTCACAACAATTTCCTAGTATTTTGAAAATTGTGTTTCCAATTTGAGGTTGAAATTTAAAATTTCTGTGTAGAATGCATGCTACCCTGATGAATATGATGCTTCTGATGATGTACGCAGAGCACCTGGTGCATGCAGTAGAAGTGCTATGAATCCCTAGGGATGATACGTTACAGAGGGTACACAAAATCCAGAGCAAGGCTTTTAGGCTGCCTGTGACCCTGTTGAGAGCCTGGAAGCTCTGCTTGTCCTATTCCCCAGGAGTCCTGGATTGAGTTGTGCCTCTCAGACCTGTCAGGTCTGTTGCAGTGGTCCCCCAACCATGGAAATTGGGTGCCCTAGGCAAACTAAATGGTGAAGCTCTTAGGTTGCCTAGAAGAGGTTGGCAGGGGGGCTGATTCATAATATGTCTCCAGATCTTAAAATTAACCAACAACTTTTTGGAGTTTGGCCAGCACTCTCTCTGAGTGCATGGTGATTTCATAACTCTCACACTGTTAAAAGTTTCAAGAGAGGCATAATTTACACCTCTCATCACTGCTTGTCAGTGCTGGAGACTCACAGCTGAACTCTGATGACAGAAGACATTTCTATACCTTCTTTTCTTTTTGTTTGCCCACCAGCAATGAAGACCAGAATCTTCACCACTGCTGCTTGAGAATTAAAAAATTGTTTGTGGAGATAAGCATGGAAACAAATGGTGGTGAAGCTGATAGTTGTATCAGTAATGACAATTTAAGCACAATACCAGTTCAGTATTTTTTGGGATTGCTTTGTTTTTGAGTATTTCTTCTGCTTTCCTTATTTTGGATCAGCTGGCCAAAATACTTCCAAATGTTGAAATGCCTTATACATACAGGGCTTTTCTGCACAAGCAAATGAAATTTGCCTGGTTTTATTTGCCAGTCCTGATAACCAAAGTAATGGATTCTCATGTTTTTCTTTCCAGACATAAATCAATGTTCTTTTCCTTAGTTACTTTTAATAAAGAAAATTAAATTTTCTTTTTGTTTGCATAGCACTGAGATTATGATGCTTTCCTTAGATTTCCTCTTAAGAACACATAGGCAGTTAGATATTTATAGTCTCAGCCCCAAGAAATAGAGCAGCAATAGTAAATTACAGACTATAAATCAACAGATCACATTTTCCAAACATATGACCTTGAACAAGTACATTGCCTTTGTTCTTGAAGTTAAGCAGACATTTCAGCGCCTTGCTTATGTAAAAAGCATGAATGTGCTGTATCAGTATATGCATAGGTGCTGCATTGCTGGTGCAGCTTTATCCCAGCTGTATTGATTTAAAGAGGTATTTTAGGCCAGTGACATGCCACATTTTAATAGTGATTTTGAAAAAATACTTAATACTTGAAAATTAAATCTTTATAGTAAATGGCAGTAAATTTACAGCACCACTGTTATAATTAATGTAAATGATGTAAAATAACTTTCATTCTGTTACTGATGGAAATACATTCATGAAAGTAAACAGTATGTGGCTTTTTTGCATTGCAGCAGTGCCAGGAGTCAAGCCCTGATCGAATTACTCTGTATGGCTTAATGATGAAACCTATCCAGCGCTTTCCACAGTTCATTCTACTATTGCAGGTAAATAATAAATAAATAGTCTGATTACAGAGACAGGCAGTAAATACTTTGCAGGAAAATCCTACTAAACTAGATTTACGCTTGATTACTTGCTAGGTTAGAATTAGCTTCTGCATCACTTAGTTCAAATGTGCTACTTGTTCATATCAGTTTGTTGGCTAATCACACACAAAAACACCACTAGGGACTTTGTGCCATTACTTTCCATTTAAGAAAAATACAAAAGGATGTAATTTGTGCTACAGATAGTTCAGAATATATGTGGGATATAGAATAAA